GACTTTCCACTTCAGGGTGCAGAAACCTCATCCAAAAGGGAGAGGACAGGCAAAGCATCTGTAACACCTCCTCTACTGTGCTTGAAACATACCTTTAAGAGTGTCAAGAGAAGATTGCAGATGGCAGTTAAAATGACACCTGAACTCTTCTCAGTCTAAACGAGTGCAAAAGCAACCATGCTGTCATCTAAACAGAGCTTTGCATAGCGATCAGCTACGTGCCGAGTTACCTGGGGCAGGAGCTGGGCTGCTGAACAGCAAGCTAGCTAAGCGTCTCCACGGCGGAGGTCAGGGTCTCGCCGTGGCAGTTCTCTGCCATGAGATGAACCTTGCAGCTTTCCAAGGAAACAGGCCTCGTAAAGGCTGTATGTGAATTTGTTCCCAGCCTCCGAATTGACAGGGCTGGAGCTGCGGGTTTATGCTGTGGCTCCTCCCTGGCTTGTTGCTGTGTTGAATGCCCTCGCAGAGCAGTTCTGATGGGATGCTTTCGCCTTGTAGTCTTGGGATGACTTCTAAAGGTCTGGTTTGTTCTTCTGACACTAACCCTTTAATGTCAGCCTTCATATATGTTCTCATCTTTCCTGCCTATGGCTTTGCTTTGAAGGTCTCTTTAGGAAATGAAATAAAGCAGTAATAACTTTGTTTTTAAATAGCTGGCACTATTCATTTAAAAAAAATAAAATCAACTACTGATTCATATCTTAAGAATCCAGAGGATTTCCACTTAACTGCAACTTATGTGAAATAATTACTGGCACTTGGATTCATTTTCCAGGTTTTCTTCACACCTTACCAAAGAACTGACTTGATTTATTTCAGCCCCAACACAGAGTGGTTAGTTTCTGCACAGAAAAGGAGAATAGCCTACCTCATCAGGTAGGGAAACGAGGACTCGGTGACAAGATACTCGTTTCTACTGCGTGAACAAAATGCTTGGCTGGAGCCAAGCTTATGATCCCCCCCCCCCCCCCCACCCTTGCTCATCTGCCTCTGTTTTGTTTTGGTGTTTTGTGTATTTTTTTTCCTCCCATCTGTTAAAGCAATTTATCTTGATTAGTTAAAGAAAGATGTGACTGTGCTATTGAAAATATTTAACCTTTGTTAGGATGGATTCTGGTGTCCTCGTTCCTTGCACAGTGAACTCATTTTGTCCCCCTGTCCGCCCCGGGGGATTGTTGCTGTCTAGTCCGTTTTCTTGCCAGCAAGCATCTGAAGGGTTGTGTTACTCTCGCTTCTCCCCAGCGATATTGCAGGGCCTACATAAACATAAAGTTGTTGCCTTTGGATACTTCTAGGATGTAATGCTTCATATTTACACATGCAAACATAGGAACCCATCCATGGTTCAGAAAATTGTAAGTGTTGTCTGTTACCACTGTTGTAACAACTTGATGTTTTATCATCTTGGTGTTTAAAAACTTCCTTTTGGTCGTTTACTGGAGTTTTCTTACAAGATTTTTGCCTTGTTACCTCTCCAGAGCAGCTCTGACAAATTTCCCTCTCCTCGTAGCGTTTGTCCCCGTGATGTGTTCCTTCACACGCGTGCCACGTCACGGTATCGTGCTAAGGCTCCGTGCCTACGGATTAAGTAGGCAGAGGCATCATAAATCTTTACTCTGGGAATGTTTAAGCTCTGCTCCCACCTGTGACAGCACCTTAGTCGGTGCATGCGGGTAAGTAAGGTTTTCAGATTCTGCGTTAAGAAGAAAAGTGCAAATATTATTGTAATTAGGTTAAGATATTAAGAATGCTGTTTGGAGACTGGATTTTTAAGCTATTGCAAATACTTGTTACCCTTGGATCATACTCCAGATTCACGCCTTCAAGGCTTGTTGCAATTTTGCACGGTTCTGTTAACTCTTCAAAAAGATATTTTGAGATGACAATTATAAGAAGGATTGGCTTCCTGCTTTTCAAAATATTTTGCAAAGTGATGGTGAGAAAAGAGAGCGGATCGGGCGAGCTCTGGCGTGGATTGTTGCTCGCTGTTACCTGCTTGCGATCCTAAACGTGATTAAAATCTCTCAGGGCTCAGAGCAGCCTGTGCTGCGTTTTAAACACAAGATGGTGCTATCACAATTCAAAGACAACACGGAGAGCAAGAGCGGAAATCCACTGTGCTGTAGTGTACTCATCTTCCTGCCTTTCTGTCGGCATCTCGGTTTCAGGTCCCCCCCGCCCCAACGGCTTCTTCAAGGTGAAGCTGTTGCGTCAGTGGGAAAAGAAAAGGAGCATCTAGGCCTTTGATCACGAAAGGCTTCAGAAAGTTGCTCTCCCTTGTGCTCAAGCCGGCGTGGCTTGTTGAGACGCGTCATGGGGATCGGCACAGCCGCAGCCGAGACCGCTCCAGGCAGCTGCTCTCGTCCCTTGGAGCTTTTCCGCACCGCAGCAGAGAGCCAGAGCTGCTCCCTCAGCCTGGGGCCTCTTGGGCTCGTTGCACCCGCTGCTTGGAACCGGGGCTCTGCTCCCTGCTTCAAAGACAGTCATGCTGCCTATTTTATTATTATTTTTAACCAGCAGACTTCTTAGTTCCCCCTTTATTCCAGATCGTGAACGTTCCCGTTAAACTGCACTTTCGCCCTGGGCAGAGGGCTGCTCCTGACCGCCCGCTATCACTTGAGTCTTCAGCACGAAACCGTAAGCGGAGTTTAATTTGGAGGCGTAAGGCCTGAGCTGCCTTTCCGGAGCGGGGGCGCGTGCTGTTCGCCGACCTCGG